TTAAATAGTTCCTCATGTTGTGACCCAACCATAAAATTATTTTCGTTGCTACTTCATAACTGTAATGTTGCTACTGTTATGAATCGTCATGTCAATATCTGATATGCAGGATGGTCTTAGGCGACCCCTGTGAAAGGGTCGTTCGACCACCAAAGGGGTCTCGACCCACAGGTGGAGAACCGCTGGTCTAAATGGCATCTCCTCTAAGAAGCCTTTCCTGATTCCTTACCATCACCCAGCTGGATCAGGGACATCTCTCATTGTACAAAGATCAGTCTGTACTGTAAGTGCCTGGTTAGTTTTCTGCCTTCCCAACCAGGCTGAGATCTCCATAAAGATGGGAACTGTGTTGGTCTAGCCCAGAGATGTGGGTATTGACGAAGAACCAAGCCCAGGCCCCTCTACCGCCCAGACCTAAGGCACAGCCCCACTCACCTACACACTTGAGGTGATGCAGGGCCCAGCCCCTCTTGCACTGTAAACAGTTGGATTCCTCAGGTCCTGAGCAGCGGGCACAGGGGCCAAAGCAAGCTGGGGGGAATGGCGGAAGTAAGAGAATGAGCAGGCAGGCATCCCATCAGCCCCTGCCCAGCGCCTCACCTTTTGGCTACCTACCCGAACATACCAGATGGCTGGCGTTGCGCTCCACCTCAAAGTAGCCGAGGCTGCATTGGCCACAGGCCTCACCCCCATAGCCGGCTTGGCAGTCACAGTGCCCGCTGCCCCCTCGAGTCCCTTCCCCTTCACAATGCCCGTAGCCACCGCAGGGCTTCTCTGTACCCCCAGGACAGGCTGTGGGCAGACACCAAACCGGGTGAGATTGTAAAAGCAATCTTGTATATAGAAAACATTAACATTTTTTGAAAGAAAACTTAATAGTAACATAATATGTTGTCATAAAACTGTATGAAATTTACTTAACCACACCTCCACTATGGAACAATTAGGTTATTTACAAATCTTTTCTTTTATAAACACTGACTTGATCATCTTTGTCACTGACTCTTTATCGGCAGCTTCTGGGGAAAGATTTTTCTAGATGTTTCTCTCTCATTGATGTTTCTAGCTCTCTATCTCTCTCCCTTCCTCTCTGTAAAAAATCAATAAAATATATATATTTTTTTAAAAACTGTATAAAATTTACTTAACCACTACTCCACTATGGAACAATTAGGTTATTTACAAATCTTTTCTTTTATAAACACTGACTTGATCATCTTTGTCACTGACTCTTTATCGGCAGCTTCTGGGGAAAGATTTTTCTAAAAGGGGCTGGTAATAAATTTAGCTCCTGAATCAGAACTGTGTGTAGAAAAAGGTGGTGACAATGGGGGCATCAAGACAGCACCTGCCAACTGTAGGAAGGTCCCCTTAGTCCAAGGGATGGGGCCTGGTCTGACCCCAGGCATGGGAAATGAGGGGTGGAGGTGGAAGCATTTCTCAAATACAAGATAAAGCCACAGCAGCATCTGACTCAGTCTAACCACACAGACATCTTTTTACAGAGCCATTCCCCATTGATTTGCTCATCTCGTCAGCCCTGTGAGGCAAGTAAGAACCAAGGTCCAGAGAAGTTATCTGAGCAGCCTAAGTGCACACAGCCAGCTAGGGGGAGAGCCAGAACAAGAGTCCTGGCCTCAGCAGTCCCCTCCCATCCCTTAAGAAGAACTTGAATCACTCACGAAGGCAGGAGGGCCCGAAGGTGCCTGAGGGGCAGCAGAGCTTCAGGGAATCTGAGCAGAGCCACTGGAAGAGGTCTGGGGCTTCCTGCTGCCTGAGGTGGGGAGGTGGTGTGACAGTGAGGGGGCCTTAGACAGTGTCAGAGATGCTGCCCATCCCCCAACCTCCCACCGAATCTCTGATACAACCCAACGCATAAGACCCCTAAGACCACCTGACCAACGCCCTTTCCTCATTTGGCAGAGGGGCAAACTGAAGCTCAGAGTGAGAGCTCCTTCAGCAAGTCCTTAGCAGATCTGGGTTTGGAAGGAGCCAAACAAGGACACAGCCCCTAGCATGCAATCCCCTGCTTTACTACTTGGCCCTGCCTGTGGCCCCTCCCTGGGAAAGCCCCCACACCACTCACTTGTGAAACCACCAACTCTCCACCAGCTCCTCGCTCAGCTCCAGCAGGCGATGGCACTCGAAGTCCGACTTGCTGCACACGTTCTCAAGCACCTCTACCAGGCGGGTCTCACTGGCCAGACAGGGCAGAGTAGTGTGAACACATTCCACGACACCCACCAGCCTCCTTAAGGTCTCTCCCACCACGTCTCACGCCATGACAGGGTCAAAGGAAAGGGCATAGGGCATAATGGAAGGGATACTGGTTTTGAGTCAGACAGACCTGAGTTTGAATCTAGTTGTATGACCTTGGGCAAGTCAATCTCTCTTGAACCTGTTCTCTCTTCTGTAAAATGGGGACACCACCTCCCCTACAGGTTTGTTGTACGAGACCTTAGTTCCTGCCTCTGCACAGTGGAATATATACTCTTGCTGGGTAGATGTAAGTAAAAATATGTCATATAGCAAGTGTTGGTGAGGAAGTGGAGAAACTGGAACCCTCCTACATTATAGGTGAGAATGAAAAATGGTGCAGACACTGTGGAAAACAGTTTGGCAATTCCTTGATAAGTTAAACATGGAATCATCATAGGACTCAGTAATTGCACTCCTGGATTTGCACCCAAAAGAATGGAAACAGGTGTTCAAACAAAAACGTGTACACAAATGTTCATTGCAATGGTATCCGCAATAGCCAAAAGACAGAAACAACCCAAATGTTCATCAAATGATGAATGGATACACCAAATGTGATATATTCATACAACAGAATATTATTAAGCCTTAAAATGGAATGAAATATTAATATATGCTACAATATAGATAAACCTTAAAATTTTTGATAAGTGAAAGAAACCAGACATAAAAGACTACATATTATAGGATTCCAATAGAAATTAGCAAATCCATAGAGACAGAAAGCAAATTAGTGATTGTCAAGGACTGAGGGGAGAATGAGAAGTGACTGCTTAATGGATATGGAGTTTCTTTTCGGGATGATGAAAATGTTCTGGAACTAGTGGTAATACTTTGCACAACACCGTGAATGTACAAAATATCTCTAATGGTAAATGTTATGTGTTGTATATCTACCTCAATAAAAAATTAAATATACATAAACACACACATATAATGGATTATATCTTTAAAGAGTCTGACACAGTGACTGGCATATAGGAGGAGGTGGTTTTAAAAAACTGCAAAAGCCCTGGCCAGTGTTGCTCAGCGGATAGAGTGTCAGCCCGCACACCGAAGGGCTGCGGGTTCGATTTCTAGTCATGGGCATGTACCTGGGTTACTTCACCTTCTACCACTCCACTCCAGCCACTTCTCAAATACTCCAAGCTCAGTCTCACTCTGTCCACTTCTCTTCCCTGATTGTCACATAGCTTGCTTCTTCACTTCAGGTCTCTGTTCAAATGTCACACCTTGGACACCATGCTTCTCACCATTCTGTAGTCCACCCTGTTTTACTGTTATTCACCTTATGTGACATTATTTATTGCCTTATTCACCACCTATCTCCTCTACAAGAATGTAAGCTATTTGAAGATGGGATTTGGCTTGCCTTGTTTACTGCTGTACTATAGATATTCAGTGATTATTTGTTGAATGAGTAAGCACTCCCCAAAAGGCTCTAGGTCCCCACTCGTAGAACAGAGACTGGGAGGTGAGCTATACAAACCCAGCTTTCCAGCCCTTACCTGTCTTTGTATTTGGACAACTTCTCTTCTTCCCAGGCAGTATTTCCACCTCCAAAGTTGTCCCGGTTGGTTCTCTCCAGGCCCTGGAAATGGAGAAAATTAGTAATACCTAAGTACGGACGTCCAGTGCCTGGCGCATTCTAGCACTTCAGTCTTTCACTGACCAGGGAACAGGCACAGAGGCCACACAACTAGTTAAGTAACCAAGTTGGGACTTGAATCCATACAGACTTGCATCCCAGATCTCCCCTCTCTCGGCCACTTGCTATAGCCGCCGGGCCCCTCCCACCGGGCTGCGGGGCACTCACCTTGTTGAAGCTGTCGACCAGTCCCCGACACGTATGACACGGATGGGGCTCGGTTGGGGGCGAAGACTGGGGAGGTGGAGAGGGCTGCAGCCAAACTGGGCCTGGGAGGCTGCAGAAGAGGCTCAGGCCCCAGATCAGAGCTGGGACCAGGCCCCTTGGGGGTCGCGGGGCCATCCTTTCCCAGGCGGGGGACCTATAGATGGAAGACATGGGTAGGGTGCGCTGGAGGAGCCAGGTGAGAAAGGCAGAGTCGGTGCTGAGATGCCAGGGGTCTGGGAGCCCAGATCTGTTATTTTAAAAAGGGAGGCTGGACTGGGATTCGGGCGAGAGAGGGTATGGTGGGGAAATGAGCCGAAATAAGTTATCCTCGTTACCGTTGGGGAGGAAGCCTGCACCCTTGGCAAGGAAGCAAAAGTCAGCCCATTGTTTTAGGGTCTGAATGTAGGTTTATTAGGGGCAGGATCAGTGGAATTAGGTAGAAGGGGTCAGATTCCAAGTATTGGGGGAGAAGAAGCCGGATGAATGATTTGCGTGGATCGGAAGAGAAGGGGTCAGGTTCAGGGCCCGCAGGCCGCAAAAGCACGGCCCGCGAGCCGGCAGGGGAGGATCCAGATCCCTGAGATTGTGGGGGAGGAAGAGACGACGCACCCAGCCTGCCGCAGGCGCAGACCGCTGTCTCCTCGGCGCCACCTCCTCTGCCGCCTGCGTCAGACGTGCCACCTCCGCCAACCCCGCAGCCCGGAGGGCGGAGCTCACGCCGCAGCCAATGGTGACGAGCCATGTACCGTTGCGTCATCCCACCCCAGCCAACCAGAGGTGGCGCCGGGCTGCACCTGTCGGGCAGTTAAAGGGCCGCGGGGACCCGGACCGCGGGCTGCGTGCCAGGCTAGCGCCGCGCTGTCAGAGACACACATTAGAAGAGACGTGGATAGAAAAAGAGCGTCTGCCTTTATTCAAGTCCTGTCCCCCGCCTCGGGTGCCATCTCGAGTCCTGTCTCCTGGGCCCCCGGGGGCAGGAGGCAGCTGTCCAGGGCGGGCTGAAGGGCTCGAGACACTCGCTCCGCCCTGTTCGAGAGCCACCCGGGGCGGGCGGCGCCGGGCTCCTGCAGAGTCCGCAGGAAGTCGGGCAGCTGGGAGGGCAGGGCGAGGACTGGCACGGCGCGGAACAGGGCGGGCACGGCATCCGGGTGGAGCAGGCCCTCGAAGTAGGCCCCGATGTAGCGGCCGGGCGCCCGGCCCTGCAAAAAGTCGGGCAACACACAACTGAGCGAGGCGGCAAAGGCGTCGTGCGGGCGGTGCGCCCCGGGCGCCGCCGACGTTCCGTCCTGCAGCCACTCCTGGCACAGCGCCACGGCCCCGGGCGAGAAGAGCAAGATCACCATGCCGCCCTCCTGCAGGATCTGGAGCCGCTGTGCGTGGAACCAGGCCAAGGACCCCTGCGCGCTCAGCTCACGTCGACTCCACAGGTCCACGGCCACGCGCAACGGCAGCTGGCACAGCGCCGACGCCAGGGTGCCGACGAGGCGCTCGAAGCCCGCGTCGTCGGCCGAGTACAGCAGCAGAGCGGCGCGGCCCCTGGCGGCCGCTGCGGAAGAAAACAGAGGGGGAAGGAAGATGTGAGATGGCCTGAGGCCCAGCCCGCTGGGGGCGGCCCCCCCGCCGGGCGCTTGCTCACACTCACCCCCCGAGTAGACATCCTCCTTCAGGAGCCTCAGCCACCCTGTTCAGGGAGAGGGGCGGAGGCAAAGGGTGAGCTCAGATGCTGCTTCCTGTCTCTGAACTCCCAGGCCCCATCCAGTCCTACCTCTGGGGAATGGGGAGCCGGAAATGACTCACCTTTCACATGGTCCTTTTTGAGGAGGAGGAGAAGGAAAAGCACAGCAGCAAAGACGAGGCAGGCCAGCCACACCAGGGCCCAGCGCTGGTGGATATCTGGGAGGCCAAGGGGAGGAGATGCGCTGGTTAGAGACCTTACACTTACACCCCACTTCATGAAGGAGAACTGAAGTAAGTTGCCCAAAGTCCACAGCACTTAGTGTCAGAGCCAGAATATGAATATAGACCCATCTACTTGGGTGACCTTGGGTAAGTGACTTCACTTTGTTTTTCACCTCTGTAAAATTGAGATAACAATAGTACCTACTGATAGGGTTGTTGTGAGAACTACATCTGTTAATACACATAAAGCACTTGCAATGCCAGGCCATAGTAAGTCCTCAAAGGTCATTATTATTGTCCCTTAAGCCTAGGGTGGCTGGGTCCTTGACTTCACTCTCTCCGGTGACTGCAACAGCCTTTTGATATCCCTGACCTCTTTTTTGTCTCCAATTCATTCACCACGTGGCATACCCAGGGATCTTTTAAAAATACAAATCTGATTATAGTCTTTTGGAAAGCTCCTGCTACTCTTAAGGTAAATTCCCAATTCCTTACTTTGGCTCCCAAGGCCCTATATGGCCCATGCATTCTCAGCTCACGATAGGGGTCTGCCTCCCAAGGCATTCCAGCCACACTGACCACTGTGGAGTTCCTCAAAAAAGCACCCCACAGTCTTCACAAAAATGCATCTCTAACTCCTTCACCTAGATCAGCCTTCAGAATTCAGCTCAAACCTTTCCCCTGAACTCCTTACCCCATCACGGTCAGGTCCCTGTTACATGCATTCATGGCTTTGGACACTTACTTTGTAGAGAGTGCTTCAATAGCTCACACCTACCAAATGATTTGGGGCTAATGCCTTTCTAGCCTTCTATGACTGGGGTGGGGGCATGAATTGTATCTTGCTGATGCTGGGATGGCCTGCAAGCTCTCATCATGGTTTCTGAATGAGTGAAGAATGACTCTTTGATTTATCTGAGCCAGGGAAGGACATTGCGTGTGTTGCCCGCATGAGTGGTTCCTGTCAAGATTTCAGCTTCTAGAGAGCTGTGAAGAGGAAGGGCCATTCTTGTAATACTCACACTTGTCCATGGGGCAGGCCCATAGTGCTCTCAGGTCATTATCCCACAGCTGTAAGACACAAACAAAACCAAGCCCTGAGCCGTCAGCTTATGGTTCAGCACTCACCAAATTCTCGCTAGCCTGATCTCCAAAATTTCCAGCCTCAATTATGCATATTTCCCCACACACATAGCAGGTTCTCGCAAGCTACTCTGGCTTTGCTTATGCTTATTGCCTGGACTGTGCCTTCATGCCAGATCTGGCCCATAGGAAGAGACCCTTCCTTGGTTCTCCCTGGAAACCAGCGCTTAGCACATGTGAATGTTGTTATCTGTTTATGGGTTTTTAGCCAGCAGTGAATAACTTGGGGACAGGAACTATGCTCCTTCAAACTCTTAGCTTCCCCAGGACTGGAAACAAAAAATCACAAATAGATGGTGGATGGGTGCTAGAAGGACAGTGAGGAGGCCTCTGCCTGGGAAGCGTGAGTCTCCCTGGTGCCTTCAGGCACAGGAAGGAGTGGAAGAGGCCAAAGGTAGAGTGTTAGGGGTGTTGCCCTTGGATGTTGGGGCAGAGCTCTCCTGCCACCTACTCACCTGCAGACACTGTCCTGACTGCAGGTCTTGTAGTAACTGCTCTCCAAGGCGAGCTGCCCTCTGCCAAACCAAGGGGAAGGAGGCTGTCACCTAGGGGCACTGCACCTAGGAGACCACCAGGCTGCATGCAGCTGGGCAGAGTGAGAGGATGGCACTAGGAGTTGGGAGATTTCTGAGAGACCACTGAGAACAAGGCCCAGGTCTGAATCACCCTCATGTCCCCAGAGACCAGCACAGAGCCTGGCTCAGAGGAGGGGAAATTGAATAGAGGGAAAATTTGAGGCTAGTTTTGAGATGGAACTGGAGAGGTATATGGAGAAGGGTCCCCCAGCCCTCACCGTGGAGGCCCTGCTGAGCAGTGGGGTGCAACCACTGGGTTCCAAGGCACAGACTGATCTGTTGTCCTGGGGGCCTCGTGTCTCCACCAGCAGCATATCATCCTTGAGGGGCCCCAGAGAATCTGAAAGGGATGAGAGTCCACTCTTGAGACCCAACCTTGCTGGAGGCTGCCATGTGCCCCCCTCATACCTGACCTTCACCCCTAGGAGCTGGCATTTCCAGGGTTCACCCCTATTGCGATGGCCCTGTCCCAGCCTCCTGCAGGCCCTACTCACCAGACCACAAGCACTCTTGCAGCTGCAGCTTCTCCCCACTGCTTACCTGCTTGGAAGAGGCCAGGATTAGGGGCATAAAGAAAGGCAAGAGTGCCCTGGCTGGTTTTCTCAGTGGTTAGAGCGTTGGCCCGAGGACCAAAGGGTCATGGGTTTGATTCTGATCAAGGACACATGCCTCAGTTGATTATTTGATTCCCCAACCTGGTTGGGGTGCTTGAAGGAGGCAGCCAATCTATGTGTCTCTTTCATGTTGATATTTCTATCTCTCTTTCTCCCCCTCCTCTCTCCATTCCACTCTCTCTAAAAAATCAATGGAAAGAGTATCCTTGGTGAGGATTAAAAATAAAAAGAAAGAAATGCAAGGGCCAAGACCAGAAAGATCTGGAAGTAGAAGGGATAGGCATGGGGAGGCCTGTTGGGTTGGGGGTTCTGCACTCTGGGCCTGACCTTAGGCAGATCTGGGTGATTAGGAATCACGCCATCTTTCTCAGCTTCAGCTTTGTGAGGTCATCTCTGCTAACAGGACTTGGGAACCTAAATTAGCTCTTTTCACATCTGGCAAGACACTTTATACATTCCCATCTAACTACCTTCTCAAAGAGGCCTCACCTGACTGCCCCACTTGAAATTGCAACCTTAATCCTCACTATCCTTCCCCACATTTCTCCATAGTATTTATATACAATTTTTTAAATCTTCACTAGAGGATTTTTAAAAAAATATATTTTATTGATTTTTTTACAGAGAGGAAGGGAGAGAGATAGAGAGTTAGAAACATCGATGCAAGAGAAACATCAATCAGCTGCCTCCTGCACACCTCCTATTGGGGATGTGCCTGCAACCAAGGTACATGCCCTTGACCAGAATCGAACCTGGGACCCTTCAGTTTGCAGGCTGACGTTCTATCCACTGAGCCAAACAAGTTAGGGCAAGAGTGTTTTTATTGAAAAAAAATAATTGTTTTTTGAGAGACAGAGAGAGACATTGATGGGTTGCCTCCCAAATGCCCCTGACCAGAGATGGAACCCAAAGCCTAGGTATGTGCCCTGATCAGGAATCAAACCCACAACCTTTTGGCGCACAGGAGGATGTTCCAACCAATTGAGCCACCTGGCCAGAGCTTTATATTAACAATTTTAACTTACTATAATAATTTACTTATATCTATTGTTTACCTTCCTCCATTAGAATATAAGCTCTCTACGGATGAAAACATTTATTGATTTTATTCACTGACCTCTATCCCAAGTGCCTAAAACAGTGCCTGGCACATAGTAGATGCTCAGCTGCCTCCTGCACATCCCCTACTGGGGATGTGCCCGCAAACAAGGTACATGCCCTTGACCGGAATTGAACCTGGGACCCTTGAGTAACATTTGTTGAGTATTTAGTCTGTGCCAGTCCCTAGTGTGAAGCGCTTCTCTTATTTAATCTTCATAACCACTCTATAAAGTCGTTACTGCTATCCCCATTAAGCAGATGAGACTGACCTTCAGAGAGATGCAATGACTGGCTCAGGGTCCCTGGCACTGCTAAGGCAAATAGTGGAACTCCTAAAGAGGAATCCCATAACCACTTCGCTCCAAGAACCCAAGGATCAAGTGGGTCCAGAACACAGTGTCTTGTCTGGGGGTCCCTGCGGGTGGGAGGAAGGTTCTGCTCCCAACACTGCTCTGGCGCCCCCTTCTTACCTGGACACAGAGGTTGGGGTGGCCTTCCAGCAAAGGGAACTCCAGGGCTTCCTGTGGAACGAAAGGAATGGGAGGGGTGGTAAGAGGTGGCCCCCTGGGCTTGCCTTCCTCCTCGGACCCTGGGCTTGCCTTCCTCCTCCGCTTCGCTTACGTTCACAGTGACATTTTCCCGGGGCAGCGGTGGGACCAGCGGCTGGCAGGAGCCCCTGCCCGGTGCCTGCCAGCACAGTGCGGCCTCGGCGGCGGGCAGCGAGCATGGCGCGACCAGCCTCCAGCCCCGCGGGGGCAGCAGCTGCAGCCGGGCAGCCCGCCAGAGGTTACGGTGTGCGCGGGTATCTGCAGAGAGAAGGCGTGGTCACTGCGAGCCCCACACGCGTCAGTCTGCACGGATCCCACCCCCGATCCCACCCTGGCCCCTGCGAGTCCTCTCACCATTCTTAAATGGGCAGATGCTCGTTCTCACGGAGTCAGGTTCCAGAGGCCACACCTGGAAAGGAAACAGGGCTCCACGGTTAGGTCACCCCAACCAACCCTCCAGGGACACATGCAGGCCCACTGCTATTCATTCGGCTGATTTTTCACAAACACTTGTCTGGTCATCCTTTGCAAGGCCCTAGAGAGGTACACGTTTATTCTTTCAGCAAACCCTATGTCAAGATCTGGCAACATCTTTGTTTAACAAACTTTTTTAATAAATCGATTTTAGAGAGAGAAGGGGATTGGGGGAAAGACAGGGGGGGGGGGGCCTCGTGTCTCCACCAGCAGCATATCATCCTTGAGGGGCCCCAGAGAGTCTGAAAGGGATGAGAGTCAGGTATGAGGGGTGAACCCTGGAAGTGCCAGCTCCTAGGGGTGAAGGTCAGGTATGAGGGGGGCACAATGTCAGGCATTGTGCAAGGCTCTGGGGAGTTACTAAATTTGAATTAGCTATTATTTTTTTTGCCTTCAAAGAAAAGACAAGTGCACAGTTGAAGTAAGGATAAAAATGTTTATAAATTAATAGATTGGTCACTCATTTATTGAGCGTCTGTTGCATTCAAGAAGAAATGAGACAGGTGCCCAAATAAAAAAGGAAATGGACAAGGAAGGACAGACGTACAAGGAGATGTGTAGATAGGCCAGGAGATTGCGGGAAAGAGGTGACATGTGAGCTGGAAGGATTTGGTTGTATGGAAAAGAAGTGGGGGCATTTCAGGTAGTGGGAACAACCTGAGCAAAAGCACAGAGGTGGATATATCTTGATAAGTAGCTCCATCTGGAGGGAATAAAATTTCCATCAAGGGGAATCGTGGGAAAGACCAGAGAAAAGGTTCAGTTGGGGGTCAGAATATGGGACTCAGAATGCTAGGGAGTTCTGGGAAAGGAGGTGGCATGGGAAGTTATTGAAATAGTCTAGAGGAGATATGATAGAAGCCCAAACTGGACTAAAATGGAAAGGAGAGGGAAAGAGAATGAAAGGCATTAATGTCAGAGGTCAAATAGATGGAATCTGATGACCAATTAAATGTGCAATCAGAGGGAGAGGAAAGAACCAGCAAATATAAGCCTACATGTGGCATACTTCCTTATAACAGCCCTATGAAGCTGGCACTATTACTGGTATTCTTCCCATTTCACAGATAGGAAACAGGCTCAGAGAGGTGAAGTGACCTGCCCAAGGTCACACAGCTAGCAAATGGTAAGAGTCAGGATTCAAGCCAGTCTGAGTTCACAGCACATGCTCTACCCTCCGGGGAGCACAAGAGGAAAGTGGAGGAATAGAGGAAGACTTCAAGGAGGAAGTGACATCTGAATGGGTCATGAAGCATAAGTAGGAGTCTTGTGGTTAGAGGATCAGGAAGAGTATTTGAGGCAT